TAATATTTATTTTTTAGTTCTCGGTGGATACAACATCTTTGTTGGTATGTGGTGCTGAGGATCGAACCCGGGCCGCACGCATGCCAGGCGAGCGCGCTACCGCTTGAGCCACATCCCCAGCCCCCATTTCTTTCCAATTTTTACTTTAAACATAGGTTTGTGGGGTTGAGGTCAAACCTGGGACCTTGAGCTAGGTGCAGTGGCACCGTCCTGTAATCCCAGCAGTTTGGGAGGCTGGGCAGGATCACGAATTCAAAGCCAGCCTCAGCAACTTAGTAAGAGCCTAAGTAACTCAGTGAGATCCTGTCTCTAAATAAAATATTAAAAAAGGCTGGAGTTGTGGCTCAGTGGTTAAAGCACCCCTGGGTTCAAACCCTAGTAACAAAAACAAAACAAAAGAGAAAGAAACAGACAAAAACAAAAACCCTTGGGATCTCACATATACTTGGCAAGTGCTATACCACTGAGCTACATCCCCAGCTCTAATTTAAATCTTGTAAAAATACTATATAATTGTGTATTATAGTGCTGTTTTTATCATAGGAAAATGCTAGCTGCCTACAGTACTTAACTCATGGTAGACACACAGTATTTACTAAAGAATGAAACACTGATGTGTTTTTATGTGACCTTTTGAATGGCTCTTCAAGTGACTATACCCTAATTAATTTATCCCTTACCCTTATTTGGATATTAGGTTGTTTCTAAATTTTCCTGTCTTAATACATTGAGCCTGGTCCCAGCAGGAGGGTTACTTGAGCCCAGGAGTTTAAAGCCAGCCAGGGTAATAGAGACTATCTCAAAAAAAAAAAAAAAAAAAAAGTTTTCTTAGGACATTTTCAGAAATGATGATGGTGAAATTACGTATTAGAAATCTTGTTTGAGAAGGACAGAAGCACAGTTAAGAAACATTTTGGCCAATCTTGCTGGGGACTTACAGGGTAAATCTAACTTTGGTGCTCGGAAGCCTCTTGTTTCCCAGTGCTCTTCACTTCCTTCTGGCAGACTCTTGCCATCTGCTGGTAAAGATGAGCACTGGCAGTTTTTTTGTAGTTTATAATTTTAAAAATTTGAAATGACTGTCAACTGATTTCTTGTATTGAACCCCAAACCAGTTAATTACTTGTGGCAGGACAGGAGACAGTTGGAATACCTTTATTGACTAAGCCTGTGTCTTATGCCCACAATTTTGGGTTCAGTAAGCTTCAGCAAATCACATGGATTGACCAGATTATTTTAGAATGTAGGGAGGGTGGCTCTCCCAAGGAAAGGACCTTGGATAGACAGGAAAGGGATATTTCCTATAAATGTTTCATTAAATGTTACTATTTCATTATAAATTATTTTTGTTACATAATTTTTATTTATATGTGTGGTATTGGGCAACAAATTCAGAGCCTATGCATGCTAGACAAGTGCTGTACCACTGAGCAACACCCCTAGACCTATCATTCTTTTAAAGAAGGGAGTGGAATAGTGGAATAACTTTTTTTTTTTAAAGAGAGAGTGAGAGTGAGAGAGAATTTTAATATTTATTTTTTAGTTATTGGCAGACACAACATCTTTGTTGGTATGTGGTGCTGAGGATCGAACCTGGGCCGCACGCATGCCAGGCGAGCTCACTACCGCTTGAGCCACATCCCCAGCCCCGTGGAATAACTTTTTATCTTCTTTTTTTAAAATTTTTTTTGTATGGGAGATTAAACACAGTGGCACTTAACTACTGAGCCACAACCACAGCCATTGTTTGTACTTTATTTAGAGCATTGTTTGTACTTTATTTTTGAGTTGCTTAGGGCCTTCCTAAGTTACTAAGGCTGGCTTTGAATTCAAAATCCTCCTGCCTCAGCCTCCCGAGCCTCTGGGATTATAGGCATGCGCCACTGTGCCTTGCATCTATTAGTATTGGTAGCTATTGTTCAGTGATTCCTAAAAGTTTATTCTAGCCTTAGTAATATTTATTTTACTTACCTTTAACCAACACTGGGATTATATATTGCATCTATTATTATTGTAGCTATTGTTCAGTGATTTCTAAAAGTTTATTCTAGCCTTAGTAATATTTATTTTACTTACCTTTAACCAACATTGGATATTGTTATGTTTTAAATATTGTGCTAATTTAATAGACTTAAAATGGTACTGAGTTTATATTTCCCTTTTTCACTTAACATATATCATTATTATTTTCTGTAACTATATTTGAAATAGCTCCTTGTGTTCCCATTTGACAGATTTACCGTAGTTTGTCAAGCTATTTGTTTTAAATGATTGATTATTTATGGGTTTTTGTTTTTGCAGTGCTGGGGCTCAAACCCAGGGCCTCCTGTGTGTTAGGCAAGTGCTGTACCACTGAGCCACATCCCCAGCCCCATGATTTATAATTTTTTTTTTTTGTACCAGGGATTGAACYCAGGGGCACTAGACCACTGAGCCATACACCCAGCCCTACTTTGTATTTATTCAGAGACAGTGTCTCATTGAGTTGCTTAGCGCCTTGCTGTTGCTGTAGCTGACTTTTGACCTGTGATTCTCCTATATCAGCCTCCCTCCCAAGCCACTGAGATTACAGGTCTTTTATTTTTTTTAACTTTCATTAGTATTGGTAGCTATACTGTAAATGTTTTATGCCCATGGGTTTTTGCCTCTAGTTGAATTTTTTCTTTGGAAAAAATTTCAAGAGTAAAGATATAAATATATTTATGTGCCGCGACCCCTCGCCAGCAAAGGAAACACGACACAGGATTCTTCCTTCAGCAGTTTATTCAGGCCTTTTTTTAGACATGTCTTTTAGCTTGTTTCTCTCTCGAACACTCCTCCCGTGTGCCCCAGCCTTAATAAAGCAGATAAAGCCCCAATGCACAACTGCCACGTGGACTTTTCTCAYAGGGTGCCAAGTCACAGCGTGCCAACTCATTCTGATAAGGAGTTGTTTGTCACAGACTACAGCGGAGCCAGCGCCATCTTGTAATGGCGGCCACAGTACACAGAAACGGCTCACCACATTTATGCCTTTGCTTTCAAAGAATTTTACCAACTTATATTTCTGCCAGTATTTTTGCTGTTATTTTATCACATATTTACTAACATTGAGCAGTTTTTGTTGTTGTTGTTTGTTTATTAATTTGTTTTGTTGCTGGAGATTAGACCCAGGGCCTAGCCCATCAAGCTAAGTAAGCGCCTGCACTACCATTAAGCGGTATCCCTGGCCAAGCAGTATGTTMAAGAATGTTTGCTGGTTAATTAGGTATTAAATGCGATCTAAAATTATGTTGTAGTTGTAAATGAACTTACATTTTTCAATGAAAATTTTTATTTTCCCCTTGCATTCCTCTACCTTTGTTTTCTTCCCCAGTCATTTAGAATATAAATATGAGAAATGGGGCTGGGGATGTGGCTCCAGCGGTAGCACTCTCGCCTGGCATGCGTGCGGCCTGGTTTCGATCCTCAGCACCACATACCAACAAAGATGTTGTATCCACCGAGAACTAAAAAATAAATATTAAAAATTCTCTCTATTCTCTCTCTCTCTCTCTCTCTCTCTCTCTCTCTCTCTCTCTCTCTAAAAAAAAAAAAAAAAACTTAAACACTCTCTCTTTAAAATAAATAAATAAATGAATGAATAAATAAATAAATAAATATGAGAAATGCCATCTGATTTATTTTAATTTTCCTTCTTGTACCAGGTCTGGTCCATCGAACTCACATGTCCTCTTGTCGGGTGGACAAGCCTTCTGAGATAGTAGATGTTGGAGACAAAGTGTGGGTGAAACTGATTGGTCGAGAGGTAAGGTTCTGTGGATAGAAGGGGTTAGGAAAAGCTGATGTTTTCTTGAAACTTTATGACAGTGTGTGTGAAAAATGTTGTTAATTGTGGCTGATAATCTTATTTTAAATCCTATCACAATTATCTGTCTTGAATTTAAATCAATTTTCCTATCCTGCAAATCCAGAGGGAATGAAGTGAACTATGAGAAAGAGTGTTGTAATAAATGTGTGTTTTGGGCTGGGGATGTGGCTCAAGCGGTAGCGCGCCCGTCTGGCATGCGTGCGGCCCGGGTTCGATCCTCAGCACCACATACCAACAAAGATGTTGTGTCCGCCAAAAACTAAAAAATAAATATTAAAAAATTCTCTCTCTCTCTCTCTCTCTCCTCTCTCACTCTCTCTTTAAAAAAAAATAAAAAAAATAAATGTGTGTTTAAAAAGCTATCCTTCTGTGTGCTGAAAAAGAAGAAAAAAGAAAGGGGAAAAAACAACAAGAAAAGAGAAGTAAACTTAAAATTTATGGGTTAGGTCTTTATCACAAATATCAAAGTGTACCTGCCAGGTATATTTCAGTTGGGCCACAACAAAGGACAGAGGGTATTTATAGCCATTTTTCCTAATATCTGGCATCATGCAAAACAGGAGAAATGAGAACGATCTCGTGTACTCTGTTTATAATAACTCACTGAAGGGCATGAGGGCTTTGGGTATAGGCACACCACAGGAGATAAATGAACATGCGTACATCGTGCTCTTCTACCAGGGAATGACAAGGGAGATGGACCTGAAAAAGCCTCTTATTCAACAATAATGCTGAATGTGTGCTAGGTTTGGGAGACACAATGATTGAACCAAATATAAATGATTCTAGCTCCTGTAAGCCTTATGCAGAATATAAGTAGAAGGCACAATTTTTTAAAAGTAAACAAACAAGGTGGGTGTGGGGGTGCAGCCTGAAATCTTAGCAACTCAGGAGGCTGAGACAAGAGGATCTCAAGTTCCAGGCTACTCTTAGCAACTTAGCAAGACCCTGTCTCAAAATAAGAAATAAAAAAGTGCTGGGGATGTGGCTCAGTGGCAGAGCACCCCTGGATTCAATGTCTGATATTCCCCAAAAAAGAGAGAGAAAGAAAGTAAAGTATCACAAGTATTGTATTGTGTTCAAACAATATTTAAGGTAGATTTAGATAAAGTTGTCAGGAAAAGGCTCTCTGAGGAAATGGTGCATGAGCTGAGACCCAAAGGAAAAGGAACCAGTCACTTGAAGAATTGGCAAAAGAACATTCCAGGCAGAGAAAATAGCTTATGCAAAGATGCTGGAGTAAAACAAGACGTTATGTGAGCTGCAGGAAGCAAAAGAAGACCAACGTGACTAACAAGTGTCCTGCTTAAAGAAGCCCTAAACCAAGTCCAGAATGAATGTTCTAAAAGAAGAACTTCTTTCAGCTTTTTTTTTCTGTCTGGTGACCTCCCCTGGCCATGCATTTCTGAGCAACCTTTTGTGTGTTTCCCCCAGAGGGACAGGAGTAAGAGAAAGATCATTTCCTACAACTCTTCTGCGGTAGTGTCTCCTCTTATGCTTCTTTGTACTTTCAGTGTTCCTAGCTCAGTACCTTGTTCATGAAAGGGTCTTGGTGTTTGTTAGGGTGGTTAAAGCTTTAATTCTTCATTAATTTTAGATTGGCAGTCTAAATTATGTGCTTAGAGTTTTTGATGACTATTCTTTTGTCTTTTTCAGATGAAAAATGATAGGATAAAAGTATCCCTCTCCATGAAAGTTGTCAACCAAGGGACTGGGAAAGACCTCGATCCCAACAATGTTATCATTGAGTAGGTAAAAGGTTTGGAAAGGCTAAAATCCTACTTCCCAAAGCACAGAAAGCTGTAGTAAATCAGACTGAACTGGGAATTCTACCATTTATAAACTTTGTGATGTCAATAAGTTATGCAACTTTTATGATCTTTGGTTTTTAGAGGTATAAAGTGTAAATAGCACTTTATTGCATAGAATTCTAAGATGAAAGGCTAACACAAATCTCATAATGTAGGAGTGCTCCATCTGTGGTTTTTTTCCCTTTGTTTTTTTTTTTGGCTACTGGGGATTGAACCCAGGGATGCTTTACCACTGAGTTGCTTAGGGCCTTGCCAAGTTGCTGAGGCTGGCTTTGAACCCGAGATCCTCCTGCCTCAGTTTCCCTAGGCATTATGATTATAGGTGTATACCACTGTGCCTGGCTGCTTGCTTCCTCTTAATTTCTTTCTGCTTTTCCCTTGGCTAATAAGCATTCACAAAGTACAGTTATTTGCCTCTCTCCTAGCAGTTTCTTTACTGGGGTCAAAGAAGAGCATTGACCAGATAACAGAATAGAGTGATCTAGGAGCAAATCCATTGGGATTTAGACTCCTACATCTTCTGAACACAGCACCTTACTTTCATTTGTTCTTCTTTTTTTTTTAGAATTTTTTAATATTTATTTTTTAGTTTTCGGCAGACACAACATCTTTGTATGTGGTGCTGAGGATCGAACCCGGGCTGCACGCATGCCAGGCGAGCTCGCTACCGCTTGAGCCACATCCCCAGCCCTTGTTTTTCTGACTTATATTTAGAAATGGAAGATTTTTCCTATCAATCCAGGATAATGTCTGGTGATATGGGAAATTTGTTGTTTTAAATTCTTTTTAGAATTTCTAACTAGGGGTTCTTGAATCCTTAGGTTCCCTTGAGGGATATTAGGGGATTTTTTTTTTTTTTTTCAGTATTTCAGAAAGTCAACCAAAATCAAACATTTATCTTCAGGTTAACTATGATGTTATTTATTGCTTTTGATGATAAAATATCCTGTTATTTCTCTTAATAATAATTAGATACCTTCCATGGCAGTTATGCCACTGACTAATAAAACATTAGGAAAATTCATAAATGATATTTGAAGGATCTTGGTTGCAAAAAGTGTGGATACCTTTGTATTTATAGTTCTGAGCAAAATCTCTCTGGATATGAAGTGATGTTTATTGAATATATAGTATGTGCTAGGCATTATGGAAGGCAATTTATGCATATTAGTGCATGTAACTCTCTTGCCTGTTTTTACCCCCTTCAGTACTAGAATGGAACCCAGAGCCTTGCACAAGTGGTGTAGCCTAGGCAAGTGCTGTATCACCGAGCTCTAGCTCTTAACTATATGCATGTAACTTTCATAACCTACAGAGTGGGCATAATCCCCATTTTATTTTATATTTCTGTTTTCTAGCTTGGTGCTCGATAATAAGTAACTAGTCTCTAGTTATATGGCAAATTATAGTGGATCAAGGATATGAATCTAGGTCCTGATAATGCTAATGCTCTCTGCACCAAAGAATTCTAGCTGCTTCATGTAAATTTTTCATAGTTCTGTAGTTTAGTCTCTAAATATTGACATGTTTGTACTGTTAATTATTGACAAAACTCTTTCTAGTTACAGTAGAAATTTTTACTAACCCAGAAATGTTCTTTAAGTCTGATCCTTATGGATTTCATTGTAACAAATTGCTTTTGCTCTAACGAATTCTATGCTAAATAGACTCATTAAAAGCAGTGCAGTTTTCCAAAGCAACCCTTAAAATGGTAATATATAAAACAAGTAAGATAAAAGAGCTAACTCTGTTTCTCAGAAAAAGGTAGGGGAGGTGAAAGACTTTCTGGTTTGGGGCTGTAGGTATCTGTGTGAGGGCTATTTCTAGTACTATCCAAGTTTCTGAAACAATAGCTTTTGTTATAAAAATGTATCTGTAAGTGCATCCAGGAAAGAAGCACAGTTATAAGAGAAGGATTCTAAGTTTTAAAGTTAGATTTGAATGAAAAAGAACCTAGTTCTGTTCCAACCTAGTATATGACCTTAAGTAAAATCTTATTGGTCAGAAACTATTTTAGTGTCTAGTCCATAGTAAATACTTAATATAGATAGTTACTTGTAGTTATTGTTTTAAATGCCTCGTTTTTCCTCTAACATCTGAGATTTTCCTTTTTTAATATCTATTTTTTAGGGCTAGGGATGTGGCTCATTTATTTATGTTTATGTGGTGTTGGGGATCAAACCCAGGGCCTCGCCTGTGCTAGGCGAATGTTCTACTGCTGAGCCACAACCACAGCCTCACACTTCCTTTTTGAAAGAATGTGTATAACCTAGGCCATGTTTTGTCCCTTTTACCTCATATAGTGCTTGATGTGTAGTATTTGTTTAGTTAGTACATTCATTTCCACATTTATTCAACAAACTTAGGCAGCATGAGTGGTTTGCAGAAAGGAATTAGCTGGAAGAGGAAGAGTTGATTTCAGGCCATGATGGATGGATTTGATTGCCATTCCTCTTCCTCGAAAAAATCAGACGAGTGGTTATGCAGGGGAGGCATGGTGACAAGAAGAGACCATGAGGTGCTGGTTAAATTTTTATTTTTTATGGAGTACTAGTTATATGAATATGTTCATATTGTAAAAATGAAGTAAGGTATATTCTTAGTACAAATGCTTTTCTATATGCATATTATACTTTGATCAGAAGTTTTAAAAAGTGCTGTGGGAAAGAATTAACAAAGATTAATTCTAGGGCTGGGGATGTAGTTCAATTGGTAGAGTGTTTGCCTTGCATGCACAAAGGCCTGAGTTCAATCTTGATCCCCTTATCAAAAAAAAAAAAAAAAATTCTAGCTGAGGGCCTCAGGGAAGAAGACTTGATAGATAGTAGCCTCGGAATGTTTAGGTGTACTCAAATGGTGAGTGGGAGCATTTCAGAATGGAACTGCCTGGGCAAAAGCAGTGAAATAGTCACATCTGGCCAGACTTATTGTATAAGTAAAAATGAGGCTGGGAAAGTAGTTAGAGACAGACTGTGAAAGACTTTGAATGCCAAGGGAAGAAATTTGGACTTGATTTTCTAGAAAGCTTAGATGGTCTTTTAAATCCAATAGTGACCTGGTGTTATACAATGGTTAACATGGTGAGTAATTTTTATATTTTCATTCTCTGTGCATTAGCGAGATGACGCCTAGACTCATTCATAATTGTTAATTCAAAGTCTTGTCCTGAATGGAAAAAATCAGCTATTTCACCTCATTGCTTTCACCACCTGTCTTGTTCTGCCCAATGCATGTTCTTCTTTCTTCCTTTTTTTGCCAAAAACAAAATAAAAAACCAACATTCAGCCTAACCTTGAAGTTTCTCTGATGCATCTTTTAAGGAGGCCAACCATCGGTATCTTTTTCATTATAGGCAAGAAGAGAGGCGAAGGCGATCCTTCCAGGATTACACTGGGCAGAAGATCACTCTTGAGGCGGTCCTGAACACTACCTGCAAGAAGTGTGGCTGTAAAGGTAAGGTGAAGCCTCTGCCATTTCTGTATTTCTCTCCTTATGGATGAAGACCATTGCCTAGTAGTTGTTTAATTTACCCCGTTTTAGCCAACTGTGCATGCTTTTATTCCGGCCAGATTTACATCAGAGTGTGTGGCTCGATGCTTTTTCTGTTTACCTTTCTGAATGCTGGCCCTGTGAGATACCCTCATTTTGTACCCACCACTCCACAGCTAATGTCTGACTGGGCAAGGTCCCCTTTTACTATGCCAAGAGGGGCAAGAGTGTTTGATTACGGTTTATACTTTAAAATTTAATCTCCAAGAACATTGATTGTTCTGCAAAAATTAAGTGATTTGGAAATACATTCCTTTAGGATCCAAGTTAAACTCTTTCATCTTTATTTCTTTAACTAAAAAGTTCTGTATATAATATCCTTTAGTAATAAAGAATATAAGATAGTCACTTCCTTTTAGCTCTATTTCCTCAGGTTTCTTCTAGTCTTACTCAAATATTAAAAAGCTCTTTCAGCCTGACTTCCCTTGTTGGAGCTATAATGAGAAGGCCTGCCAGCTTCTCATTTTCAGAGTGACCTCAATTTGTCACCTCTTCTCCCTAGCCCTCCATCTAGCCATCTTTGTTTATCTTTCTACAACTAGTAGCAGATTTGTGCCCTGGTTGAAGTTGTGGGGTTTAAGCCCCTATTTATTATTAGCATAGAGGGAAGAAGGGAAAAGTAAAATTGAGAGAAGGAATACCTCCTCAGGGGAATTATGGAGACATTCCAAATATTTGGAAAACTCTGTACTATATTCCTTTTCCAGGCACCATCAAGTTTCTGGACCTAGCAGTGCTTGTGTACGTAGTTTTTTTTTTTTTTTTTTTTTTTTTTTTTTTTAAGTTGTAGATGGACACGATACCTTTATTTATTTTTATGTGGTGCTGAGGATCGAACCCGGGCTGCACGCATGCCAGGCGAGCTCGCTACCGCTTGAGCCACATCCCCAGCCCTTGTTTTTCTGACTTATATTTAGA